ATATTTTATTTTTGATTGAAGAAAACATGTCAAAAGTTAGTTTTTTTCCCAAAAAAATGATATTTCAATAGTGGGTTCTGATATCTTGTTTGTCCTGTCCAATCCTGAACAGTGTCATAAGAAAATGTATATACTTAATATAGAATTTTTTTTAACTTTTATGACTTTTCGTTATTTTTTGAATAAATAAACGTAGTTTTTTGTGTGATTTATAGTGCCTCAGTGACAGACCCATGATGCCCCGGGTATGAAGCACCTTGGGTCATTTCTCAAAAAATGTTTTTTAATTTTTTTTTCCAAAACTAATCAATATTTGCCACAAATACGCTAAATAAATTTTAAAATATAGTGCTTTAATTATTAAAAAAAAATGAGACAAAAAATCTTATATTTAAAAGTACTTTTCAGAGTTTGAATTCTTGTGGCTTATAGTGCCCCGGTCTCCCCTTATATTGGTCTTGATGATGTAGTGGATTCGTATATTGGACGTTTTGTGGTAGTTATGGATTCGATGTCGGTTTGGCTGACGTCGATTACAACCGCTCCTAATAATCATAAGAAGTAGTATTAAAATGTTATTAAAAAATCATACCTAAAAAATACTATTTCATAAAATATAATCAATATTTATACTTTTTTTATATAATAAACTCCAAACTTTATATTTTTCTACATATTGTACATATCATTGAGATATTTTTCTATTTTAAAAAAATTATATTAACATCTACCTTCTGTAATGGGACACAGCGGGCCCTTCGGATAATTCCTTAAAACTCGATTCATTGTTCTCAATAGCGGACTAGGCTCGCAGCCGCATTTGTTTTTGAAGTCGTCCAGATCTAAGGCCCAAACCATACCACCGCCGAGACCAAGTTTCTTGATCAGTTCTGCCTTCAGTTTGATTTGTTGAGCGTCGTCGAAGCTCACCCACTGATCATCTTTGTAGGCATAAGGGCCGATTCTTCTGTCTTTATCCTGAACGACTGTCCATCCCTTCTTCAACGTTCTTTCACATATCTGTCATAAAAGCAAA